CTCACAAGTTGGTGATTCTTTAAAGTGTCAGGGAAACCAGATTCTTGACAGGCCTTGGAGGAAAAAAAAAAAACCCGCAGACAAGGGGGGTGAGCAAAAGGGAGGGGAGGAAGTAGAAAAGGACCAGACCAGGACATGTGTGCTGCTCTTCTGCCATCTAGTGGCTGAAAGAGGTACTGGGCTAGGCGCACCTGTCATCCTAGCTACTCAGGAGCCTGAGAGCTGAGGATTGTGGTTTGAAGGCATCCCAGGCAGAAATGTTCCACGAGGCTCTTATCTCCAATAAACCACTCAAAACCTGGAAGTGGTCCTGTGGCTCCAGTGCCTTGAGCACAAAGAGGCTCAGGGACAGTGCCCAGGCCCTAAGTTCAAGCCCAACAACAAAAAGGTATAACACTGCATACTAACAGGTTCAAGAACCTGGGGTGATGGAAGATGTATGTAAACTAACACAAAATAAATGCCAATAACCTATCACTCTCCAATGACCAAATAACTAGGAAAGCCAGTTCTACAGGACTCAAAAGCCACCTTATCACTGGGTGCCGGTGGCTCAAGCCTATAGTCATAGCTAGTAAGGAGGCTGAAATCTGAAGATTCTGGTTTGAGGACATCTGGGGCAGGAAAGTTTGTGACAGTCATATCTCCAATTAATCACGCCAAAAAATGGCTGGAAGTGGAGCTGAGGCTCAAGTGGTAGAGCCATAGCCTTGAGCAAAAAATGCTCAGGGACAGGGCCTACACACAGTGTGTGTGTGTGTGTGTGTGTGTGTGTGTGTGTGTGTGTGTGTGTGCGTGCGTGTGTGTAAATTGCTCAGGGACAGTGCCTACACACAGTGTGTGTGTGTGTGTGTGTGTGTGTGTGTGTCCGTGTGTCCTTATAAGCGGGGTGTTGGTGTCTCATACCTGTACCTAGCTACATAAGAGGCTGGGATCTGAGGATCCCAGTTTGAAGCCAGGCCAGACAAGAAAATCTACCTTTACCTCCAATTAACCACCAAAGTTGGAAGTGGAGGTGTAGCTCAAGAGGTACAAAGCTGAGGGATAATGGCCCAGGACTGAAAAACAAAAACACAGATATAGAAGGCTAACATGCCAATCCCCATCCTCTGCTGCCACTCTTTCCTCCTGGCATTCCCCACCGTCCATGGCAAATCAGAGGGGCGTGGCCCTTTCTTTGTGTGTGTGTGTGTGTGTGTGTGTGTGTGTGTGTGTGTGTGTGTATACACACAATATATATTAAATTACTGAGGCTTTAACTCGGTAGATTACAACATTTACAAAAAACAAAGCAAACCATATTCTTCTGTCAGGCATGGTGCAATCACAGGAAATGCTGCTGGAAATGTTTCCCTTTCATCTGAAAGTGGACAGCTGCTGGAAATGTTTCCCTTTCATCTGAAAGTGGACAGGAACAAGAAGTTTTCCTGCTATCCTGTCAGAAGTTATTAGATAAAAGGAAGTTAGAGGCTGGGCATTGGAAGCTCATGCCTGTAATCTTAGCCATTCAGGAACCATTCAATCAGGAGGCTGAGATCTGAGGATCCAAGTTTGAAGCCAGCCTGGGCAGGAAATTCCATGACACTCATATCCAATTAAGCATAAAAAGCCTAAAGTAGAGCTGTGGCTCAAGTAGTAGAGTACCAGTCTTGTTCACAAAAGCTCACGGAGAGGGCCCAGTCTCTGAATACAAGCCCCACAACCAACAAAAAAGTTAGGTTACTTAGGAGACTGATTTTCAGACAGGCACTTATGCCGATAGTTGAAGCTTGAGGCTTTGTATCTGTGTGTGTGTGTGTGTGTGTGTGCACAAGCCAGTTCTAAGACTTAAACTCTGAGCCTTGTGCTTTTGCTTCACTTTTCTGCTCAAAGCTGGTCCTCTACCACTTAAGCCACAGCTCTACTTCCAGCTTTTGGCTGGTTCATTGGAAATAAGAGTCTCTCTGATTTGTGTGCTTGGGATGACTTTGTACTACGATCCTCAGATCTCAGCCTCCTGAGTAGCTAGATTTACAGGCATGAGCTGCCAGCACCCAGCTTTAAAACTTACTTGGTGGGTGGAGGGGGGGGCTTATATATGAAATTCTTCTCCAGTTATCAACATAACAGCCTGAATGACCTACAGCTCCAATGAAAACAAAATCTGCAGGGCTAGACATAGCTGAGGAGGTATAGTACTCATCAGGCTGTGACTCCAACCCCCAGGAAGATTACAAGAAAAAGAAAAGCAACTTGGTGAACACAAATGCAGCAGTGGTACACACTAGATACTGTGTAGAAAATGAACTCTACAACTTAGGGGAGGGAGCAATGGAAGGGGAAAACTGGGAGAGAACGAGGGAAGGGGTGACATTTTCCAAAAAGAAATGTAACTTTGCCTTACTTATATAACTACAATCCTTCTGTATGTCACCTTTATAATAATATTTTCATCCTCCCCTTTTTAAAAGTTTACGTAGTACTAAAACTTAACAATCACCAACTTCGTATACAGGCACCATATTGTTTCCTCTCTCCCTCCCATCACCCAGCAGAAATGATGGACAGAACTCTGCCCTTAGACACTCCTGATAGGGTTGAGCTATGCCTTTTGGTCACACTTGGACCTTTACCCAGAGCCTTCATGCTGACAGGCACAATTCTGAGATTATGTAATACTTTATGAGCTGAGTAGGGCAGCATATTCCTGAAATTGCAGCACTTAAAGATCAAGGTCAGCTTGAGCTGCCTGGAGAGGCCCTGTCTCAAAAGTTGCTGGGGATGGGCACCTGTGGCTCACATCTGGAATCCTAGCTACTCAAGAAGTTGAGACCTCAAGATCGCAGCCTAGACAGAAAAGTTCCTGTGAGACTTTTACCTCCAGTTAACCACTCAAAAACCAGAAGTGGATCTGTGGCTCAAAGTGGTACAGCACTAGCCTTGAACAAAAGAGTTCATGGATAGTGCTCAGGCCCTACGTTCAAACCTCACAATTAACACACACAAAAAAAAATTGCTGTGGGGGTGGGGGTAATGAGAAAGGGCACAGAAATGGGAGGTAGGGTGAGTAAATGGTCACTGTATTCCATGTAAACCATGCAGAAATGGAAGCGCATAACTTGAGGGTAGGGATGGGGAAGGATGACTGAGAACAAAGGATGGATAACGGTGCTCAAGATGCTTTCTAAGCCGGGTGCGTTGCTCATGCCTGTAATCCTAGCTACTAAGGAGGCTGAGATCTGAGGATCACAGTTCATAGACAGCCTGGGCAGGAAAGTCCGTGAGACTTTTCTCTCCAATAAACCACCAGAAAACCAAAGTAGCGCTGTAGCTCAAGTGGTAGGGTGTTAGCCTTGAGCTGAAGAGCTAAGGGACAGTGCCCAGGCCCAGAGTTCAAGCCCCACAAGGATCCCTCACATCCATCCCAGGGGAACATGCAGAGGCTGGCAGGCACAGGAGAAAGATTATTACAAGGTTTATTAGAGGAGCCATATGTCCCCTGGAGAGGGAACACATGGCACCCATCCCTATCCAGGTAGCAGGAGGGACTGGGGCAGGAAGTGAGGTAGTTGGGGGCTCAGGTGGGTCTGGTGGGAGAGAGGGAGGGGCCAGCTGTATGGCAGGAACTCCAGGCTGGGAGGAGCTCAGGCCTGGGTGGAGCTGAGGACCAAAAGTGGGAATAATGCTTACAGAACCCCTTTGTACAACTACACAATTAATAATAATAACAACAACAACAACAATACTAAAGCTGCTAAGGGCCAGTGGCTCACTTTTGTTATTCTAGCTACTCAGGAGGCTGAGATCTGAGGATCACAGTTCGAAGGCAGATTGGGCAGGAAAATCCTATCTCCCAATTAACTACCAAAAAAGCCAGAAGTGGTGTTGTGGCTAACTAGACTTGAGCAAAAAGAGCTCAGGGATGAAGTATGCCAACTTCCCTAGGTCGGTGGGACTCGAACCCACAGTCGGCTAAAGGAGTCACCAACACTTAGTCAATAAGCCTAGGAACCTTTATTAGCTGCTGCAGCGTCTGACCATCAGTATACTAAGACAGTGAAGACCAGCCACCAAGCTCTCTAGCCGGCAGGGTTTTAAAGGGGCAGGCAGGTTACTCACAGGTGGCAGGGTACGTTATAGCAAGCAGGCTTACAGAAGCAGAGCTAGCAGTTAGTGATTACAAATAACAATTACGATCAACAAAGCAATACATCATAGAAGCAAAAGTTACATTTCCAGACTTCCCCTTTGTCTCATTCCTGATAAGGGTCTAGCTGACCTTTATCACAATACATTCCGAACTTCTTACTTATCTTCTAGATCACACTACCCTCCAGGTTTCCTGGCTCTTTCTGAGTTTCACTTTTATTTACCACCCTTAACCTAACTCCTTAATTTTCTCCGAGTCCTTTGTCGGCAGTTCAAAGGGAAAATGATGGATAACATTATTTGGGGTACACTTGGGAGCTTCTCTCCCAAGGGAGGAGGGCTCAGGGGAGAGAATGAGTTCCCTACACCAAGAGGGAGTGTGGCTAGACAGCAGGAGGAAGGACTTCCTGCTCGGGTGCCCTACTTCTGATGGGGGGGGGGGGGTCACCTCAAGGGGCAGTGCCCAGGCCCTGAGTTCAAGCTCCAGGACCGGCAAACACACACATACACACAGACACAGACACACACACACAGTTTCTGCTAGTCACTAATTTTGTGAGTTGGCCTTTCCCATCGCTTTAAAGGGATAAGGTTGTTCTTGAAGGCTGTAGAAAGTAACTATTATGTTCATTTTTGTTGCCTAGTCTTCATTACTTATCACTACTAGTTGGTGTGCCGGTCCTGCGCCTTGAGTTCACTACCACTTGGGCCAAAACTCCACCTCGGGATTTGGTGGTTAACTAGAGATTAAAAAAAAAAAAAAAAGGTTCATGGGATTTCCTGCCCTGGGCTGGCTTCGAACCGTGATCCGAGGTTGTAGGTTTGCAGGCGCCGGGCTGCAGAGCCGGGACCTGCAGAGCCGGGACCTGCAGAGCCGGGAGCGCAGCCCTGACCGCGGCCCGCAGCAGCAGCGACCTGGACGAAGCGCAAGCGGAGGGACGCGCGGGCCCGGCCGCCGCCGTCAGCTGCACAGCCCGGGCCGCCCCGCCCGCCTCGGTCCCTCCCGCGCCCGACCCCCCCCCCCCCCCACCGTGCGCGCTCCGAGTCGGCTCGCCTGGTTACACCCGGGCCTTCGCCAGCACTCCAGGCTCCCCCCGACAACCTAAGACATCCCAGCTCTCCGGCTGGGCCTACGAGAGACTCGGGAGGAGAGCCGTGAACGACGCCACAGGCGTAGGCTCCAGGGCGCACGCGCCCCGCGGCGGGCCGACGCCGGGCAGTGACGTCACGAGCGGCGCCGACTGCGAGCGCCGCGCGTCCCCGGCATCGAGGCCGCCCTGGTGGGTGCGCTTGTGAGCGACGCGGCCGTGGGCTCCAGGACCTTCTCCAGCGGCAATTGTGAAAACAGATTTCTGGGGGCTGAGAACTGCTGAACGAAGGAAAGAGAGCGACGCCAGCGGCCGACGTCATCCGAGCGCGCCGGAAGTGGCCCAACCATGAAGAGTAAGCGGGAGGCTCGAGGCCGCGCAGCGGGGCCGGGATCGGAGGGAAAATACCGGCGCGGGTCGCAGTGCGGTCGGATGAGGGGGATCGCGGCTGCCTGGAGCTGCTGGGTCCACCCGACTGCCCCACCTCACAGAAAGAACCAGGCCCACGGGGCTGGGAAGGTGGCTCAGTGGTAGAGCGCTTGCCTTGCATGCGTGAGGCCCTGGGTTCGATTCCTCAGCACCACATAAGCAAAAAGAAAAAAGCCAGAAGTGGCGCTGTGGCTCAAGTGGTAGAGCGCTAGCCTTGAGCTGAAGAGCTGAGGGACAGCGCCCAGGCCCAGAGTTCACGGCCCACGACCAACAACAACAAAAAAGAATCAGGTCCATCCAGGCACGGGTGGCTCACGCCTGTCCAACTAGACACGCAGAAGGCTGAGATCTGAGGATCGGGGTTCGAAACCAGCCCGGGCAGGAAAAATCTGTAGGACTCATCTCTAAGGAGCCACCAAAAAAGCCAGAAGTGGAGCTGTGGTAGAGAACAAACCTTGAGTGGAAAGCTGAGGGACAGGGACAGGGCCCTGAGTTCAAGTCCCAGAACTGGCACACCACATCACACCACACCACACACACCCGAAAAAAGGAAAGAAACAGGTCCGGAGTGCAGTTTAACCTGGCTCAGTCTCTCAGATGGGCAGAGATGTCTGCTGAAGTGCTTTCCCCTGGTCTGCTCATTGGTGCTGGAGAAGGGGCGTTCAAGGCTTTGCCTGCATCCCTCAACCTCCCGGCTCTCCACCCTTGCTTCTGATGTCAGTCCTGCTTAGACTTTCAGGGAAGCTAGCAGCCCAGCTATGGTAAGCAAGGGAGTGTAGGATCTGTAAAAATGGGTAGATTACCCTGTGATCTAGCATCTCAGCACATCTGAACTCCAGCCTAATCTGAAGGATTGTATAGAAAATGTAATGAGATTTTTTAAAATACCTAATGTAGATTTTAACCAACTGGCCTGGCAAGCAATAAGCGTTCAACAACCATTATATGTGTAATGTTGCAGCAAAATCTCCCACTCCAACCTAGGCATCTGACACAGCCCCTGAGATCCTAGGCTCTTTTTTTTTTTTTTTCCTCAAAAAATGTTTGTGCCTAATTTGGGGCTTGAACCTCTGTGCTTGTCCCTGAACTTTTTCACTCGACTCTGATGCTCTACCACTTTAGCCACAGCTCACTTCTAGCTTTTTGCTGGTTAATTGGAGATGAGCCTCTCATGGACTTCCCTACCTGGGCTGGCTTCAAATTGTAGTCCTCAGATCTCACCCTCCTGAGTAGCTAGGATTACAGGCATGAGCTCAGCTCATTTTCTCTCCAATTGGAGGCCTCATCTTGCATTTGGGAGACAGCTAGATCTTGTACATAAAACTTGTAATCACGTTGCTTTGTGTGATCAGATAAACACTAGGGATTATTACCAGCACAAGCAAACAGGAATGACATTTATAGACTGACTTGTGAGCTAAAATTTCTTATCACTGGCCTTTAAACTAGGCCTTTGTCCCCATTCTTCCTCTACTCATAGACATATGCTCTCGTTAAAACCACCACCATGATTCTTTCCTTCAGAACCTAAAAAGAAAAACAGTATAGAATTCTGGTTTATAGAGTTCTTGACATCTGATTGTTTATATTTAGAGTCTAAAGGAAAATTACTGTATTTTAACAAGTTCGGTTATATATCTTCCAATTTTTTTATTTTTTATTTTTTGGTTGGGCTTGATTTCTGGACCTGGGCACTGTCCTTCAGCTCTTCAGCTCAAGGCAAGCGTTCTACCATTTGAGTCACAGTGCCTCTTCTGGTTTCCTGGTGGTTAGTTGGAGCTAAGTCTCACAGACTTTTCCTTCCTGGACTGTTTTAAACCATGACCCTTAGATCTTAGCTTCCTGAGTAGTTAGGATTACAGGCGTGAACCATGGGCACACTGCTCTCTTCCAATTTTATGGATACTAAAATGTGGAAAACTTTTTGTTGTTTCCTTTTTTATTGTTTTTCTGTTAATGCTGAACTTGAACTCGGAATCTGGCCACTCTCTTAGCTTTATGGCTCAAGGCTCTCTATGGCTGCCTGTGGGTGTGCACACACGTGCACACATACACACACACACACCTGGGACTTGAGCACAGGGCCTGGAGCTTGAACTAGGGCCTGGGCACTGTCTCTGAGCTTTTTCAACTCAAGGATAGCACTCTGAGCCACATGTCCACTTCCAGCTTTTTAGCGATTAATTGGAGATAAGACTCATAGACTTCTTGTTTGGGCTGGCTTTGCGCTGTGATCCTCAGATCTCAGCCTCCTGAGTAGCTTAAGATTATATGTGTGAGCCAACCAGCACCTAGCTGAAGTTTTACACTTCATAGTAGCCTAATTCTCAACCTTTTTTTTTTTTTTACACTGAATCTCTGAATGTAGCTGCCTTTATGACTAGAAAACCCTTGAATGCCATGCCTATGCCCAACAGGAAATGATTGTATTTTTTTTCTTTTAACATTCCAGGTATGATCTACCATGCCCTTTCTCAGGAAGAGGCTGAAAAATATGATGTGCAGGTACAGTTCTGGGCAGGAGGTGTATGAACAACACAGGTGATGCCAGTGTGACTTGGTGTTGTGCAAGCCTCTAGTACTGGTTTATCTGCCCTTTCCCAGGTCGTTTCCTCATCTTTCTTATAGATAGCTTAGCTCCGCCCAGTTCAAGTGGGCTGGCTTTCTTCCCCTTGCCAGCTTCCTGTCCTATTGTGCCAAAGTCAGCTCTGATGAACTTGGCCTTCCATGGTAAGGGAACACCAGACTGTATTCATCTTAAACCTGATGAACACGATGCCCCCTTGCTTTGTGAGGAAGACCCCCAGTCAAAGTCTCTCAGTGCAAGCTGGGTACTTGTATTCATTCCTGTAAACCTAGCTATTTAGGAAGCTGAGATCTGAGGATCATGGTTCAAAGCCAGGCAGGGTAGGAAAGTCCTTAAGAGTCTTAATCTCCAGCAAACCACCAAAAAGCTAGAAGCAGAGCTGTGACTCAAGTGATAGAGTATTACCCTTGAGCAGAAAAAACTCTGGTGCTGGTATTAAGGCTCTGAAGTCAAGACCCAATAGTAGCACACACACATACACACACACACACACATTTCTGTCAGTGGACTGTACTTTGTCCCTTGGGCAGAGGTCCTCCTGTGGCTCACATCACATTGTAGCCTTGCAAACAAGATCTGAGAAGATTATAGTAAATCATACCTGTCATCCTAGTTACTCAGGAAACCGAATCTAGAGCTCCTGGTTCAAAGTCAGTCCAGGCAGGAAAGTCTAGCCTTGAGTGAAAAAACTAAGGGTGAGCATGAGACCCTGAGTCTAAGCCCAGTAATGGGAGGGAAGGGGAGAAAAGAGATTTTTGTGTGTGTGTGTCGGTTGTGGGGCCTGAACTCTGGGACTGGGCGCTGTCCCTCAGTTCTTCAGCTCAAGGCTAGTGCCCTACCACTTGAGCCACAGCACCACTTCTGGCTTTTTCTGCTTATGTGGTGCTGAGGAATGGAACCCAGGGCTTCATGCACGCGAGGCAAACACTCTACCCCTGAGTCACCTTCCCAGCCCAAATGAGAAATTTTTGAAAGACCAATGTATCTTCATTTTGCCTCTCCATGAAAGAAAAATCACAACTACTTAAAAGAATCTAATTGTCTTCCTGCATCGATAATGATGGGAAGGAATTCCTTTTTCTTTAGCATCTAAAGGAATTGTGGTGCTTGTGGAGCTGTGGTTCAAGTGGTAGAGCACTAACCTTAAGAGAAAAAAAAAGCTCAGGGACAGGCCGAGTTCAAGCCCAAGGATCAGGAAAAAAAAAAAAAAAGGCTCAAATCTGTAATCCTAGTAACTCAGGAAGCTAATATTTGAGGATCATGGTTATCACCAGTGAACCACCAGAAAACTGGAAATGGAGCTGTGGCTCAAAATGGTAGAGTGCTAGTCTTGAGCAAAAAAGTTCAGGGACAATGCCCAGGCCCTGAGTTCAAGCCCCACAACCGATTTAAACACACACACACACACACACAGACAAAATAAAACTAGAAACACTTGGAGTTTTTCCAGAATGACCCCGAAGTCCCTAAGGCCTATGTTCCTTCAGATTAACTTGACACTGCCGTGTCATGCTTCTTTTGTGCCCATAGTGGGGCTTGAACTAAGGCCTCCTGCTCTTGCTTGGCTTTTTCATTCAAGATTGGCATTCCACCACTTGAGCCACACCTCCACTTTCCACTTACTTGCTGGCTCATTAGAGATATGAGTCTCCTGGGCCAGGTGCTGGTGACTCACACCTGTAATCCTAGCTACTCAGAAGGCTGAGATCTAAGGATCGCAGTTCAAAGCCAGCCCAGGCAGGAAAGTCTGTGAGACTCTTATCTCCAGTGAACCACCAGAAAACTAGACCTGGAGCTGTGGCTCAAAGTGGTAGAGCAAAGAAGTTCAGGGATACATCCAGGCCCTAAGTTCAATCCCCACAACTGGCCAAAAAATTAAAAAAGGAGTCTCATGGACTTTCCTGGCTTTGAATCATGATCCTCAGATCTCAGCCTCCTGAGTAGCTAGGATGTCAGGTGTGAGTTACAGTTCCCGGCTTGGCAGCAGGAAAACTGGTGAGCCTTGCTGAGTAGATGACAGGTCCGCAAAGGCACTGGCTTTCAGGAGTGGGGAAGCCATAAGTACCCCACCATGTCCCCTTACAGCAGCTAGGAGCACAGCGGGCAGAGGCCTTTGTAAAGGCCTTCCTGAAGCGGAGTGTCCCCCACATGAGGCAGCAGCTCTGTGAGGACCAGCTGCAGCGCAAGGCTGTGGTCCTGGAATATTTCACTCGCCGGAAGCAAAGGGAGAAGAAGAAGAGATCGAAAGGCCTCTCTGCCCGGCAGAGGCGGAGCCTGCGGCTGTTTGATATCAAACCAGAGCAGCAAAGGTAGGCTCTCCTCTCCTGACCCTCCCGCCTGCTGAAGCCCACAGCCCCTCTCCTCCATCAGCCACAAGGGGGCAGCCGTCCTTCACCAATTCTGCTGGGCTTGGCCTAATGCCATGGACTACTCAGTGTTGGGCTCCCACCAGGGACAAAGTGGGTGCCTGTCAATGGCTCGTGTCTGTAATCCTGGCTATTCACTGGGCTGAGATCTGAGGATCGCTGCTTGAAGCCACCTAGTCAGGAAAGTCTGTGAGACTCTCACCTCCAGTGAACCACCAAAAAGCCAGAAGTGGAGCCGTGGCTCAAGTGGCACAGCACTAGCCTTGAGGGAAAAAGCTAATGGACAGTGCCCAGGCCCTGAGTTCAAGCCCCAAGATTGGCATCAAAAAATATTTTAAAAAGTCTCATACTAATGACTTAAGCAAGATTAAGACTCATTTCTCTCTTGAAACCATTCCACATGACCAGCACCTGGGCTGGGAGGCAGTGCCCATGGCCACATCACCTTTAGAGCTTTTCCTCATGGACCCAGATGGCTGCCTGCACTCTAGCCATCAGGACTGCATCTAAGACAATGGAAAAGAGTGGCGGGCAGAGAGGAGTCACTGCTAACTCTTCTGGAGAGCAGAATCTCAACCTCTCAACATTTGTAGCAATGGGGGCAGTCGAGGTTCAGGAGATGAAGGTGTTCACAGTTTTATTCAGACTTCCTCCCCACCCAGTGTCCCCCAGACCGCCGTTCCTCAGGTAGACCCCATGCTCCTGTTTAACCTTCTGCCCTGTCTGACTTCTCACAGGTACAACCTTTTTCTCCCTCTGCATGAGCTCTGGAAACAGTACATCCGGGACCTGTGCAATGGTCTGAGGCCAGATACGTGAGTTGCATTTCTGAGCCTTATAGTAGAGATGGGGTCATTGTGAATGCAGCCTGAGAAACTGGCTGTGTGTGCAGTGTGTGGCTGGAGCATGGGCCGGCCAGTACCTCCTCACTGGAGTGTAAGTTCAGGCTTTCTCTCTGCTTCTCAGGCAGCCACAGATGATTCAGGCCAAGCTACTCAAGGCAGATCTTCATGGCGCTGTCATTTCAGGTAATTGGTTCAGAGCTTTGGTCACCTGGAAACAATCATTCACTACTAGGTTGCAGCGTGGACATCTCCCTGTACCCTGTGAGCTCCCTGCAGGGTGCTCCAGATCCCAGCCTCAAGGGCAGAGACGGCTGTGGCCATTGATTTTATTTTATTGCCGGTCCTGGGGCTTGAACCCAGGGCCTGGGCGCAGTTTCTTTGCTTTCTTGCTCCAGGCTACTGCTCTTCCACTCAAGCCACATCTCCACTTCCAGCTTTTTGGTGGCTCACTGGAGATCAGAGTCTCACAGACTTTCCTGCCCAGTTTCCTGGCTGGGAAGTGCGATGCTCAGGTCTCAGTCTGCTGAGCAGCTAGGAGGACAGGAGTGAGCCACCACTCCCCAGCAGGCAGGTGTTTTGTTGTTTTGGTTTTTTTTATCTAGAACCTGTGACATTTTGACTCTAGCCAAGCAACCAAATTTGGGCCTTGATGATGCTGGATGGGCATGTGACACCCCCCCCCCCCCCCCCCACACACACACACACCTCATAAGAACAGCAAAGCTGGACGCCGGTGATCACACTGTCATCCTAGCTCCTCGGGAGGCTGAGATCTGAGGATCGCAGTTCAGAGCCAGCCCATGCAGGAAAGTCCATGAGACTCTTCTCTCCAGTGAACCACCAAAAAGCCAGAGGTAGAGCTGTAGCCCAGGTGGTAGAGCACCAGCATTAAGGGGAAAAAAAAAAGCTAAAGGATAATACCCAGGCCCTGAGTTCAAGTTCCAAAACAGGAAGGAAGGAGGGAGGGAGGGAGGGAGGGAAAGGAAAGGAAGGAAGGAAGGAAGGAAGGAAGGAAGGAAGGAAGGAAGGAAGGAAGGAAGGAAAGACGGACAGCTGCAGTTGCCAAGGGACAAGGGACGGGAAGCAGTTGTGGCGTGTCCACTATCTGGGCTCTTCTCCAAGGCCAAACATCACCACCTCTGCCTTTCTCCTTTGCAGTGACAAAGTCCAAGTGCCCCTCGTACGTGGGCCTGACCGGAATCCTCCTCCAGGAGACGAAGCATGTGTTCAAGATCATCACCAGAGAGGATCAGCTCAAAGGTGCATGGCTGGGGCTCCCCAGGCTGCCTCATCCCTTTCCCTGATGCCCAGGCCCTCCAAGGACAGCAGGGCGGGCTGGCTAATGAAACTGGTATTTTGTTTTTTTTATTGTCTGTTGTGAGGCTTGAATTCAAGGCCAGGGTTGTCCCTAAGCCCTTTTTGCTCAAGGCTACTGCCCTACCACTGAGCCACAGCTCCATTTCTTGTTTGGGGATGGTTCATTGGAGATAAGTCTCACTGATTTTCCTGCCTGGGCTGGCTTCAAACCTTGATCCTCAGATCTCAGCCTCCTGAGTAGTGAGGATTACAGGCATGAGCCACCAGCACCAAGCTGAAACTTGGTTTTTTAAGGCCCCAAGCCCCATAATTCAGGAGTCCACATTAGATCTAGTCCTTCACCCACATAGGTCAAAGAGTCTTGGTAAAGGGCAGAGAAAGGAGATTTGTTCTGTGGCAGCCAGGAAAGTCAGCACTTCAGTTCATCTTCAGCCATTTTCAGGGGTGCACACATTGGCTTCAGGTTCAGTAGGGAGAATTGGGGGGCAGAGAGTGAGAAAGGCATGCAGAGTTAAAACAACCACAAGTCACAGGTGTGGCCTGGTCGATCATGAGCTCAGTCTGTCCTTGGAAGAGTTCTGGGGAAGTTATTTCTTTGTTACTGGAACAGAACAGGAACAAGATGGGCGCCTGAGTTCTTGGTTGTTTTGAGGTGAAAAGAAGACACTGCTGCTTGTGTGAGGGGCAGTTTGCCTTCCACACAAAGTGGCGATCTGTGAACCTGGTCTCTCTTGGAGCCCATGGTGATTGCAAATTTGAGGGCAGCAGAGAAAAGCTCAGATCAGAAGGCACAGACTCAAAGTTGGAGGACTATTAATTCATTCAAGGACACAGCAAAAACATCTTTTAAGTGGCTTCTGTGTGTGTGTGTGTGTGTGTGTGTGTGTGTGTGTGTATACATACGTGTGTACTGGGGCCTAAACTCAGCCTGGGCACTGTCCCTTAGCTTTTTCCACTCAAGGATGGCACTCTGCCACTTGAACCGCAGCTCCACTTCTGGCTTGTACTGGTTCATTGGATTAAGAGTCTCATATCTTCTTGCCCAGGCTGTCTTTGAACCAGGATCCTCGGATCTCAGCTTCCTAAGTAGCTAGGATGACAGGTGTGAGCCACCCGCACGTGCCCAGCTTCAGTTGCTTCTTAGGCTGATTTACATGTTGCAAATACATCATGGGGAGGGGAGCTCTTCTGGGGTTGTGGCATAGTCCCACCTGTTTGGCCTCCACTTGCCAACATCACTGCCAGAGGTCTGCAGTTAAAGAGTCAGCAAGAGTCCAAAGTAGTTCTTGCTCCTGAGTTTCTGAGACCATCCCCAGTTTGTGTTGGCTTTCTGGGTCTCCCCCACCCACTGAATTTCCCTAGCCACCTTGTCTATAAACCCAGGGTCATCAAACAAAAGTTGGCAGGATTTGCTCTTTTTTGTGTTTCAACACTTTTGGTTGATTGGTTGGTTGGTTTGTTCTCTGGGGAGGGAAGCCAGGGTTTGGAACTGCCGAACTGCACCTCAGTCCTATTCTCTAATTCTGCACATTTCCTTCTAATGTCCTGCATAGTGTTGTGCTGTTATTGCAAGCCTCAGAACGTGAGGGGACACCTCCCCTCCCCAGCCTAAGGAGCCTTGAGCAAGAGTAGAAGTTATGTAGAGAAGGATTGGAGGTATGGATCGCTTGGTAGAGCACTAGCCAATGAGAGAAAGTGGCAGCAGGTACCAAATTTGATACCTGGTCTTGGACCAAGAGGAGGGAAAAAAAGAAGTTATATGGGAAAACTTGTTCTTGTGGCTTGAAGCTCTGGACTTTGGTGCTGACCTCTGACCCTACAGGCAATACCTGTTTGCTTTTAGTGGGGCTTGATCTCAGGGGCCTGGGTACTGTCTCTTAGCTTTTGGCTCAGGGCTGGTGCTCTATCACTTGAGCCACAGCTCCACTTGCAGCTTTTTGGTTATTAGAGATAAAGAGTTTCATGGACTTTCCTGCCCAGGTTGGCTTTGAACCACATTCATCAAATCTCAGCCTCCAGAGTAGCTGTGATTACAGGCATGAGTTACCAACCCAACCTACCTGCTCAGTTTCACTAAAAATGCCAGTCACTTGGCCTCATGGTGGGGTGACCCTGGACTTGTTAACCCTTTGGACTCCCTGATTTCCACCAGCTTAGTCTAATATAGATTCTTTATGAACGACCTTCTACATAAAAGCGGATTTACTGCCTGGTTTTCCTTACTCTCTTTTTCCTGCTTTGTTTTTATTTCCAGTGATCCCCAAACTAAACTGTGTGTTCACAGTAGAAATCGATGGCTTTATTTCCTACATTTATGGGAGTAAATTCCAGCTGCGGTCAAGTGAGCGGTCTGCCAAGAAGTTCAAGGCCAAGGGAACCATTGACCTGTGAACTCGGAGGCAGCTGAGACCTGATACCCGGGCTGCCCCAGCTTTCCCTGAGGAGATCGGGTTACAGACCTCTGCACACAGTGCCACCCTGCAAGGGACCTGGGGGGCATGGAAGGAAGCAGGACCTGACATTTCTGGGTGACGGCCCTAGAGAGACAAGATAGGCAGAAATCACAAGAACGAGCCCTGGCTGACCGAAGCATAGGATTGTTAGTTTATATCTTTAGACTTACCTGTTTTCTAGATGTTCTGGAATGTTTGTTTATCATGCAGTAATAAAATACACTCATAGGCATAAATACTCTGCAAATTAGAAATCACTGCTACTGGGCACTACGGCTCATACCTATAATCCTAGCTACTGAGGAGGATGAGATCTGAAGATTGCAGTTCAAAGTCAGCCTCGACAGGAAACCCCAGGCGACTGATTTCTGCTTAAGCAAAAAAAGCTGAAAGTGGTGCTGTGGTTCAGGTCCCCAGTACTGGCACACACACACACTTTTTTTTTTTTTAATTGGCAAAGAGCAAGCAGAAAGCATCTGGCTCCGAGCTGCACTGAGACCTGACTGAAGCCAGCCTGGGACCAAGATGGCCACGTGCTTGCTCATCTAAGACCCCAGCTGTCGCCTCTAATGGCTGATGTTTGAGGACCATGGGCTCCAGATGGCGTTCCGAAGTCTCCCAGCTCCACGCTCTGGCCTGTGAGTGCAGATGTGGGACTCTGGGTTAGCCATTCTTTGGATACTAAAGAAGGTCACCAAATAACTGGTCCCGTCAGGTTCTGAAAAATAAACATGAAACACGCCTCCAAAAAGCTGTAAATTATGCCAAATAGCTTTCTTTCTGGACAATGGCTTTTGTGTTAATTTAGTTTGCATTTCTTCACTATAATGTCTCATTAAGACATCTGTTCAGTGTCTATAATATTAATTTAAGAGAAGGGGTTCTAATAGAAATGGATTTGGAATCGTCCATTTAATTAACCCCAAGGGCCTTGAATGGATATCTTAAATAGATACCATTAACAAGAGTGCTAGACAAATTAAAATTAGAGTCAATAACATTCTTGTTAATTCTTGAGCTGTGAAGGACAGGCAGAGGTGCGCTCCACACACACACAACATCCCATCTTTTTTTGGGCCAGTTGTAGGGTTTGAACTTGGGGTCTGGTGGTTCTATCCCTGAGCTTTTATACTCAACGCTAGCAGTCTACCACTTGGAGCCATAGCTCCACTGCCAGTTTTCTGGTGGTTCATTGAAGGTAAGAGTCTCCTGCACTTTCCTGCCCCGGCTCTCTTTGAATCACAATCCTCAGATCTCAGCCTCCTGAATAGCTAGGATTACAGGGGTGAGCCACCAGTGCCCACCTACCATCCAATCTGTCACCCCTGAGCACAGCCAGGGTAGACAGACCTCAGCTTTATTCAAAGATAATGGTAGTCTTCAAAGCCAGCCTGAGTCCGTGAGACTCTTATCTCCAATAAACCACTAGAAAACCGGGAGAGCGCTCACCTTGAGCTGAAGAGCACAGGGACAGCGCCCAGGCCCAGAGTTCAAGCCCCACAACTGACCAAAAAAAAGATAATGGTAGTCTCTAGCCACATAAGACAGCAACATCCTCACTTTCCCACATCTCTGATAAAGATGAGTTTCCTCTTTGGTTTTGGTTTCATTTGTTTCTTTGTTTTTGTACAGTACTGGGACTTGAACTCCTGGCCTGGGCACCATCCCTGAACATTTTCCATTCAAGGCTGGCATTCTACTAGAGCCAAAGCTTTTTGCTGGTTTATTGGAGATAAGAGTCTCTCCTCAGATTTCAGCCTCCTGAGTAGTTAGGATGACAGGCAGGAGCCAGTAGCATCTGGCCTGACCAATTTGTGTTAGACTGGGTGTTGAGGTTCCTGCCTGTAATAGCTACTTAGGAGGCCAACATAGAGACTTTCTGACACTAACTAAAAAAGAAAAAAGAAGTAGAAGAAGAAGGAGAAAATTTCTGTTCTTTCTCTGTTACACTTCCCTTGGGAACATTATTGGCTAAAGAATACCTAGGTCTATTATGCGGATACGAATAGATACCTGAAATCATTTAAAATCTCTCTGGCAATCTTTTTCCTCAGCATGGCCCCAGGCTACCCTAACGGAGTTTGCCTAAAAATCAGATTTAAAGTAAGCAAATGCCAAGTTCCTAGAAAAATCAGTTTCTTGCCAGATTCACATTGTTGTCTCCCTTGACCTCCCCAAGTATTGTCTTTCATGAGTCTTGGACTTCCAGAGACCAAGAATTCAAGCACCAGGCATTGAGGCTCACACCTGTCATCCCAGCTACTCAGGAGGCTGAGATCTGAGGATCATGGTGCAAAACCAGCCCAGGCAGGAAAGTCTGTGAGACTCAGATCTCAAACCACCAAAACCTCAGAAGGGGAGCTGTGGCTCAAGTGTTGGAGGACTAGCTTTGAAAAGAAAAGCTCAGAGGCACACCCAGGCACTGAGTTCAAACTCTAGGACCTGTACCAAAATAGTAATAATGACTCCCTCCTCTGGGGTCTTGCTTCCCATAATTTGGCAACCATGAGCAACCACCACCACCTTCCCAGTTCCTGGGTCCTTGATAAAATAAGCACCTTGAACACAGGAAGGGGGTGGTAGAGCACTAGCTAATGACTGAAAGCATCAGGTAGTGAGTTCAAGTCCTGATCTTGGACCAAAAATAAGACAAAAGAAACATAGAAATTAAAATTAAGGCTGGGAATGTGGCTAACTGGTAGAGGAGTGCTTGCCTAGCATGCATGAAGCCCTGGGTTCAATTCCTCAGTACCACATACACAGAAAAAGTTGGAAGTGGCGCTGTGGCTCAGGTGATATAGTACTAACCTTAAGCCTAAGAAGCTTAGGGACAGTGCCCAGGCCCTGAGTTCAAGCCCCAGGACTGGCAAAAAAAAAAAAAATTAGCCAGGCGCTGGTGGCTCACACCTGTAATCCTAGCTACTCAGGAGGCTGAGATCTGAGGATCGCGGTTCAAAGCCAGCCCGGGCAGGAGAGACCGTGAGACTCCTATCTTCAATAAACCACCAGAAAACCGGAAGTGGCGCTGTAGCTCAAGTGGTAGAGCGCTCGCCTTGAGCTGAAGAGCTGAGGGACAGTGCCCAGGCCGAGTTCAAGCCCCATGACCTACCAAAAAAAAAAAAAAATTAAAAATAAATCAACTTTTTTTAAAATAAAAAAGAATCAGCCATTTTGGGGTTGGAGGCGTGGCTCAGTTGATAGAGTGTTAGCCAGTGACCCAAAGCATCAGGTTCTGAGTTTGAGCCCCAGTCTCACATCTAAAAAGACACATGAATAAAGCTTGTGCGTGGGGGATCCCCAGGCCCTTGGAACACCCCAAAGCTACAACACTCTTCCAGACATGGCACCCCCACGTTTTGAGGGCTTCCTTTCCAAGCTGTCCACGTCTCCACAGCCTAGACTCACGGGGAAACCTCAGAGCTGAGGACCTGTGAACCCAGCATGGTGTACATCAACACACCACTCCCACAGCCATCGCTTTTTCTTGGCTTGTCTTTTTTCTTCTTTTTTTCTTTTTTCAGTGCCCATCCTGGGACTTGAACTCCAGGCCTAAGCACTGTCCCTGAGCTTCTTTTACTCAAGGCTGAAGCTCTACCACTTGAGACACAGTACCACTTCGAGCTTTTGGGTAGTTCATTGGAGATGAGGGTCTCATACAGAGTTTTCCTGCTCAGTCTGGCTTCAGACCTCAGTCCTTAGATCTGAGCCTCCTGAGTAGCCAGGATTACAGGCGTGAGCCACTGGTGCCCAACTTCAAGGCTTGTTTCCTTGCAAGCATGAACCCTTGCCAGCTTCGGGCTCCTGGTGATGCTTGCTGCGGAATTTAAAGACTGCAATAATTATTGAACACCTTATTATCTGCTTATTATCTGGCTGCCTAATTAATGTAAATGAGAATTACGGCCTGTGCACCCAGGCCTATGTTTCTCCACAGAAAAACCTGCCAGCCATTTGGGCCTGTGCCAGAGGCTTTATGGGGTGGCCTCTGATCTGCTTTTTTTGAATAAAAGGTAAGTCATGCCAGGTGCTGGTGGTTCAAGCATGTAATCCTACCTACTCAGGAGGCTGAGATCTGAAGTATTGCAGTCCAAAGCCAACCCCCAGCAGACAAATCTGAGAGAGGCTGGTCTCTAATTAACCACCCAAAAGCCAAAAATAAGAGTGTAGTTCAGGAGGCAGTGTCATCTTTGAGTGAAAAAAGCTCAGGGACAGCAGCACGCAGGCCCTAAGTTTAAGCCCTAGGTCCAGCACAAAAAAAAAAGGGGGAGGTGGGGCTGGGAAGGTGGCTCGGTAGTAGAGTGCTTGCCTCACATGCATGAGGCCCTGGGTTCAATTCCTCAGCACCACACACATAAGCAGACAAACCCAGAAGTGGTGCTGTGGCTCAAGTAGTAGAGCACTAGCCTTGAGCTGAAGGGCTGAGGGACAGCGCCCAGGCCCAGAGTTCAAGCCCCACAACAGACCCCCCCTCCAAAAAAAAAAGTAGTGATGCTAAGAAATAAAAACAGAAGGGGTTTTAGGTGCCACAAATGCAGGAAATTGGGGCTGGTTTTCTGGAAGGGATAGAAGAGGTGACACCCACCATGCTGGCTCTTTCCTCTCTGACCCCAAGCTCAATGAGATCTGTACCTTTCTAGGCCTCTTCCCCGGATGGGAGCTAATGACAATGTTCCTCCAAGGCCCATCCCCTGTTTAGTCCAGCCCCACCAACCTCTGCCTGCTCCCTGTTCTGCAGCTGACTTTCCTCTCTATTCTGCCCTGTAATGATGACACTAATACTTTTAGGTTTAAACAAGTATTTTTTTTTTCTTTTTGATCAGCCATGGGACTTCAACTCAAGGCCTAGGCGCTGCCCCTGAGCTTTTTTGCTCAAATCTAGCACTCTACCATTTGAACCACAGCGCCACTTCTGATTTTGGTGAGGTTAATTGGAGATAAGGGTCTCACGGGGACTTTCCTTCCCTAGATGGTTTTGAACTGTGATCCTCAGATCTCAGCCTCCTTTGTAGCTAGGATGACAGGTGTGAGCCACCAGCCCCCAGCTCTACTTTTGTGTGTGTGTGTGTGTGGATGTTAATACTGGGACTTGAACTCAGGGCCTAGGATCTGACCCTTAATGTTTTTACTCAAGGCTCGCACTCTACCACTTGAGCCACACATCCATTTCTGGCTTTTTTGTGCTGGTTCATTGGAGATAAGAGTCTCATGGACTTTCCTACCCTGACTGGCTTTGAACCACAGTCCTCACATCTCAGCCTCCTGAGTAGCAGATGTACAGGCATGAGCCACCAGTGCCTGGCAGAGGGTCATCATCTTGAAAGGTCAGTCACAACCCAGGACAGTGACTCTACAACCTGCCTTAGGACTTCTATCCTGAACCCCAAGGGTTTGCAGCATCTTGGGTGTAGTGTCCCATTTAATTCAACCCCCAGTGTGGAAAAGCCAACCTAGCAACCAGATCTGTAAATCTCAGCTTTGTCTCCAAAGTCTGAGCTTCTCACTCAGCATTTCTGTGAATGGAGGTTTGATGGGAAAGGAAAAAAAAATGAGTTAGGAAACACACAAATTCCTTGGGATTTCCTTTTTAATTAAGCAGTTAAGGCATAATGAGGCCCAGCTGCCTCTTGCCTCATAATGTCACACATGGGGTGCAGGGAGGAATTCAGCCCAGATAGCCTCAAATCTGCCTAGGATGCGATTAGAACAGGACTCCCTGGAATCCCAGCAAGATGAGCTTTCCTGTCGGGAGCCAGCAGCTCATGTCTGTAGTCTTCCTATAGTCTAGCTATTCAGGAGGCTAAGATCTGGAGGATCGAGGTTCAAAGCCAGTCCAGGTAGGACTTATCTCCAATTAACCAGCAAAAAGCCAGAAGTGGAAGTATGGCTCAAGTGGTAGAGCACCAGCCTAGTATAAAAAAACTAAGGAAAAGCACCCAGGCCCTGAGTTCAAGCCCCAATGCTGGTACATGCATGCACACACACACACACACACAC